TTTTATAAAACTGTGATTTTATATTACATCGGTTGATTCTTCAAATAATAATTTTTTTTATAAAATGGTATTCAAAATATTTCATATTTTTTTTATATTATTATTCTTATAGAATTATCCTGCTTTCTAAAATTATTGATATTTAATGCAAGATATCATTTCCGATTTATTATAAAATTAGTTTAAAGACTAATATTCACCTTAAGAAACACTCTCCAACAATATTGTAGAATTTATTAATGATTAACTTATATATATTGTAGAATTTATTAATGATTAACTTATATATTATTTTTATAATTTCAAGTTCATAATTTATAAATTTAGACGTTTTTAACTCTAAAGTGAGTTTTAGGCCTCTCTTTAAGTTATCGCGATATAGCTTAAGCAATTCATAATTAATCGCTAAACGTTATTATAGTTTTATATTTTAACATGATATATTTTGCAATTTATGCATCGCTTAATCTACATCGTGGTATTACCAAAGAGGCCTTACATCTGGAAACATCCTTTGGGTTAATTCTATTATATATTTATGAGATTAATGCTCTTATATATGTATAAGTGATGAATGTTAAACCTTTTTTAGCAAGAATAGTTCTAATATAAGCAATGATGTATATGAATAGAATTAGTTTCATTTTTTAAAAAATATTTTGATTTACTGTTTAAATTAAGTTATGATTATATAAAAGAGTTCATTAATTTAATAAATTAAAATATTCATACTATTATTATTTTTTCTGCAAATGTTTGCAAAATATATCTTATTTAGATCTGTAAAAATATCTCTACAACTTTATAAATTATAAAAGTCATTTGCCTATTATAAACAAATAATTAATTTTTCCCAACTTTACTCAGGTTAAAAAAAACCTCAGCATTAAATAAAGATAATTTATTTTAAAACAAAATTCATAATGATTAAATTTTTAAACCCCTCCCACCCTCCTTCAAATTTCTTTAAAATATTTTTATTTTTTTTTTTTAAAAAAAAAAAGCCCTCCCTTTAGAAAAAAAAAATTAACTTTTTATCCCAGGAAATTATTACCAAATATCGCTATTTTTTCGTTAATATTTTCGATTAGGATAATGTAATGATTATCATAATTGTCATTTACATAAAATTTTAATAAAGAATTTAATTTTTTTTTAACACCTATTAGACCAGAAACTTCTAATATAAATAAAGATGCATATGAATTTATTTCTTATTTTTAAAAAAATATTTTCTATCCTAATTAATAAATTTTTTAAAAACTATAAAATTTGATTTATTATTTTAAATGAAATTTATTTTTGATTTTGCACTTTCATCGTAGGTCCACCTCTATATATTTACAAAGATCTTTGCTTTTATGCGTACTACCTTTAAACTTTATAAGTATATTTTCGTATCCTATCCTTGACTATTATCCTCAGCATTTTCATCTCCATTATCTGTAAATTTCCCATGTCTGATGACTCATATTTCTATTGGCTAAATTTTTACAAGATTTAAATAAAAATGAATAAAGATATACAATCACATTTAAAATACTACCAAATATTTATAAATTTTTTTTAATGTTTATTTCATGATTTAAATATTTTATACCATTTTTATAAAAATAAAATTAAAATCTTTTGGCGGGAGCTCGCTAAATTTTTTTTAAATTGACAGGAGCAATGCGTACAACCCCCCTCCCCTTTTCCCCTAATGACTACAGCTCTGTCTAATTCCCGAGATGTTTTAATTTTTTTTGTCGTTCCATCCTCCTTTTATTTATTGAACCCTTGGTTGTAATGACATTATAGATATTTCCCGATAGTTATAGAGCTTATGTCACATAATACTTCTGCCTTTTCTTCTCTTGATTAATCACATATTTTTCTATCTTTAATGTTCTTATCTATATCATCATCATTTTAATATAATAGATAGTTTGTTAAAGGTGAACAGAAGCAGCGAGCACTTAGAAATTTTTTTTTATGGAAATAATGAAAATATTAAAAAATAAAACTTTTTGCTTCTCTATCCATTATGTGAAATATGCTCATATTTTAAATGCAAAAATTTTAACCAAAATTTTATCAATAATTTTTTTTATAAAAGTTATTTAGATTAAATATCAATTCTAAATGAAATAGTGATCTCAATTTTATCATATTTTAAAATATTGACAATATTTATTATCTTGAAATTTAATTTTAATTAAATGTAAAGACCCCCGGTAGGTTATGGAGGTACGTATCGGCCATTTTTAAGTAGGGATTATTTTCAGAAATAAAAATCCTACTTTATTTACAAGGACCTTAGAAGTCACGAGTTTGCTTAGGAAATAACAATAAGAAGTTGATTGACTTATCTTTTATAAATTATGTGACAGTTTTAAGAGAGAAGAAAATTTTCCAGGTGATATAGATGCCGTTAAATATAACATATATGACAATTTATTAGGATCAACATTTAAAAATATGTAATTTTTTTAATAATAATAAAAGGGCGCTATAACTAATGTTGTTAAACGGCTCGTTATGAGCCGATTTTTAAAAGTCTAGACCTTTGCTCCTTCTATGAGCAAAATTTTCAGGCTTGCATAATATTTTTCTGGATGAAAAACTGAGTTGGCAGTTTTTAAAAATCGGCTTAAAACGAGCCAACTAGAACATGCACGCAATGTGAAAGGATAAGTTACCCCAAATGTTTCTTATAATTCTTAATTTTTTTTAAAGTTAATTTTTACCGTAGAATACATAAAAAATGATACTACGTTAAAACATTTTGGAAATTTTACTTAGTCCATTTTTTATAGCACCTCAATTTTTTATTGGCAATATAATCCCGCTCTCCAGCTTTTACAAATAATTCATATTTTTATAAATTATGTACAAGAAAGAAAACTTATTGAGTTTCTATTTATCTTTATTCTTTTTTTTTATAAAATTTATATTTTTAAATAAGATTTGTGAAATATTGCCATTTCCTATTGGTTTAAAGATTTCATGTATATTATTCCTTATCATATCTTTATTTAACATTTGCAGTCCCCAATTATAATTGAAGTAAACTAGTTTTCCGATTCAATAACAATTATAAATTGTTCCATTTATTTCAAATTAGTCACCCAAATATTTTTTTAAAAAAAAACATGTCTAAAACTGAAGAATGATCATCATTACTCCACAAAATAAAAATGATAGTAACTTCAAATTTTATTCATTTTATGATTAAGTAAGTTTGTACCAACTAAATTAATCCGGAACAAAGAATTCACATTTTTCTTATTAAAAATTAAAATTTTCATCAATTGCGCCATCTAATGGATTTTTATTTTACATTTTAAGACACTATTATGGGGTTATGATATTTCTATATATGTTCTATACAAAATACAAATTTATGGACTAATTTTTATTATCAAATAATTCCGTTTGTTCCGTGAACTCGATAGTACCTTTTTAGAACATAAGAGTTAAAATCAATTATGAGCACTACCTAATTAATCAGTTGTCCACGATAACCCAACTCCAAATAGCTTTGCATGTGATTGTAAAAGTTAGTAAAATCATAAGGAATATATCTATGCAAGAGCTGAATAATATTCCCAACCATTTCATCTCTTGAATTAGGGCTGGGATTGATTGCTCGATATTTATTTTTCAAGACTCCAAAAAAATTTGGGATTTGGCTGAGGTGAATATGGTGGTAGGTAATCATTCCTACCTTTATAAGCATCGATAAGATGGCTTCTGTTTTAATAGGAATATGAAATTTTCAAATAGGTAGTGGTTAGGATTAACAATCTACTTTGAAAGAAATAATAAATTGGGATGTTCTTTATCAGGTTCTTCAATGTCCTTTTAACAATGAACCATTTTTATTAATTGACTGAAAAAAAATATTAAATCATTAAGATATTCCGAATGAAAAGTCTAAAAATTCTTTAACTGTATGGATACTTTATCCTGTAATTAAGTGTTAAAAGAGTTTTCCTTTTATGAATTTGATCATGGTAGATACAAGCGAATTTAAAAATAAATAATTTGTCATAATTCAATGTTATAAATATTAATCGACCTTGGATATCGGAGTTCCAGGTCGATAAATGAAGATACGGCAGGGTGAATGATCTTTTTCAAAAAAAAATACAGCTCAAAGGAAACGATTATGAAGATTTATTGAAATTTTTTTATATCTATAGTATTAAATTTATGACACTATTTTTAAAATAAAACATAAATAAAACTCCCTTCCAAATTTTTGAGCATAACCCCACCACTGATAGGTATGCCAATAGAATAAACTAAAGACGTACCAAAACAAAATCATGGAGTGCTTAGCAAGAATTTAGACCAACCAGAGCGAGGCTACCGCTTAAAAAAAATAGTTTTATTTTTTGATTCACATTTAAAAATTTTGTTGGCCTTTACGAACACGTACAGTATACCATTACCGAACCCATCTAGAACCAAAGCCCTGAAACAAAGCCGAAATGGATATTATTTTATGAACCCTAACAATACCTACAGCAATATAGCTAAATATTAAAATAAGCAGACTAGAAGAATATAATAACTTAGAATCGATAACCTTAGTGTTGTTAAACGGCTCGATTTAAGCTGATTTTTAAAAACGGCTAATTCAATATTTTATCCAGGAAAATATTACGTAAGCCTGAAGATTATGGTCATAGATGGCACAAATATTTGGACATCTATCAGCGTAATCTCAAGGTTTAGGCAATATTTTTCTGTGAAAAATATTGAGTTAGCCATTTTAATAAATTGGCTCAAATAGAACCGTTTAACAACATTATATACCCGATTCATAGTAATTTTTTTTAAATTAGATTTATAATATTATTATTAAGCCACCTTTTATTTTAAATAATTTATGTAAGGTGTTGGAACTTAATAAATTAAGATATATATATATATATATATATAGTGCAATTACAGTTTTATTGGTGTAAAAAAAAGATAATCGTTTAGAATTATATAATTTTAAAAATCTACATCCGCGATATTTTTACAATTCTAAAATTTACAAGTGCGATATTTTTATGAGTTCGTAGAATATTCAATATAATTATTATCATCTAAAATCATTGCAACCAAACTGGAATTAAAATGTAAATATATATGTTCGATAAAAACGATTTTAAAAAAATAGAAATACGATTTTTTTTCTAATACAACGTTGGCACCCGTATCGTTATTAATACTTATAATTATAACTCAACTTTAATACTGATTTATCACATATTGGAAAGATATACGAATAGTATTATGAAACCTCAAATAAAGCCCCTTGTATAAAAAAAATATATTGATTTGACATAATTTGAGTTTATATAATACACCTATCAATTTACATCAGTTGTAAAAAGAAAGAAAAAATGAATTCCCTATATTTCGAACAAGATCAAAATCTTAATTGTTTTTAAACATGGGGGGAGGGGGGGGGGGGTTGACAAACAAGAAAGATCACATTCGCAGATTATTCCATGCTAAAACTTTGGTTAATTTGCGTATTAGTCGCGAGTCCCTTGTCCTTATTCCAGTCCTTCTTGGCTAAAAAGAGTTTCCTGAAATCGGAGTTCCATATTCTTTTACCCTTGATATCAATGTTGGGTTCGTCGGTATCCTGTACGTTATTTTTGACGATGAAAGCGATGTATTTGTAAATTAAAAATCCGGGAATGAAGGAAACAGATAAAAGGGCCATGGACCAACCCAAGCCTATGGCCGCAGGCGGGAATGTGTAGTAGTTCCCATAAGTGAGACCCGTACTGGAGGCCCAATCATATAACAAAAGGATCAGTATGCTGACCGGGGAGATGTATTTCCAGCACAGCTTCCACCAAAAGTTGACCTTGTATCCTAACATGGTTTCGATATCGTCTAAAAAAAAATGTTTTATGCAAAAAATAATAATATTAACAAAATCGTTGTCAACGAAGAAGAAATAAGATTAATAAAATCGGCCGGGAAATAATCATTTATAACTTCAGAGAACAAGAAGAAGAAGAAAAATAAATAAGTGAGGTAATTCTCGAGTAAAAGATCTGATAAGGTCGTCAGTCCGCGGAATAAATTTTGAGCGAACCCTTTCTTAAAACTTACGTATCACCTATCGCGCATATTTTATTTTTAAACTCTTATTTCACTTTTATTATTAGAGACTTATCGGATATTGGATCCGTTACCGGACCTACGCCGGATAATAAATATTGAGACCCAACCCGTTCTATGATTACAATTACTTATTTTATACTAGAAATCAAATGATTTAATCTTCACTTTATAATACAATGTAAACTAGTGGATTATCCTTCTAAATAATGTCAAATATAAATCCTCTCCATTTATTATTACGAATAAAATTAAATTTATAAGAATAAAAGTTATAGTTGATTTTAAAAAAAAATTATATAAGATCCGATTTTGCTGATTAAATGAAATCACTAAAAATTTAAATCACCACCTATTGTCTTTACATCGATCAAATTTATTTAAAGATATTCAAATTTTATGCTCTACAAAGATCTATACTCAAATTTATTTTTTGGAGGGGGGGGGGATTCTCAGATCCTCGAGGAAATTTTTTTTATTTATTAAACTCTGGTTGGAATAAAATAAAATAGTAAACTTAAACGAGGCGTTATTAAAAGTGAAGAAAAAAAAGTGAGATGTAAGTAAAGAAAAATATATTATTAAAAAATGAAAAAAAAACAGCTGATATTTCATTTTTACTGTCATATATGAGTTTATATAAAAACTATTAATATGTTTGTCGTGGAGTCAACTAAAAGAATAGGAAGTTAAGTTAAGAGAAAAAAAAATATGGAAGTTTTCCTTTTTTAATCGGACAATTTCATTTTTTTTTGATTGGCTACTTTTCTTTTTAATTGACACTTTTATATTTTCGATCGGATATCATCAGTAAGCCTTAGTTACTTTTCCTTTTTCAATGGGATCTTTTGCTCGTTTGAACGAGAAATCTTGTAATTTTTTGAATATAAAAAGAAATACTTAGAAATCTTTCAATTCCGTAAATGTACGAAACGATGGCGCATTGGATAAGGCTGATGAATAGCAGGGGCCAACCAGCCGAGTAATTATCTATGAGTGAAAACAGGTATATGCCCCCGTTCATGGTCTGAGGAATTCCAATGAGGAAAAACAAGAAACAAATGCTGGCACTCACCAGAATCTTGCGGGGTCTAAGAGCACGAGGCCATCCATCGTATAACGTTGTGAGAACGGTCTCTACCATAGCGAACTTTTAATGAGGAAACATATTTTAATTTTTAAAATTATTATTAATTTGTAAGCCAATTGTCGATAATGTTATTCGAAAAATTTGTTGATAGGTGTTCCAACATATGAATAGTTTCGTCTTAATGGGACTATTTAATCTGCATTTAAAAATATAACCTATTTAAAAAAAAATTAGAAACTAATATAACTGCTTTCAGGTTAAAACACAGATCAAAATTAACGCAATGATATTCAATATTGTTTAAAGGTGGTCTAAGATACTTGTTATTGTTTCAAATATATCTAAATGCTTAAGGGGTTTTTTTTAAAAAATGTCATAAGCATGTTAACGCGATTCAGACTGAAGAGAGATTTTTATAAACTGGACTGAGTCTTTTTGACCTTAAATACTCTCTAAAAAGCATTTTTTTTTCTAAACTTGACTATCCAATCCTATCGTGACTAGCATAAGGAAGAAAAGCACGCTCCAAAAGGGAGACCACGCTAATCGAGTTATAGCGGTGGGGTAAGCCACGAAAGCCAGAGCGTGCCCGGATCGGATAACCTTATCAACCGAAGTATTCAGTTCGTGAGCCATAAAGCCGAGTATAGAAAAGACAACAAATCCCGCGAAAATGCTGGTAGCCGAATTGAGCATGCCCACTATCAAGCCGTCCCTTATTATATGTTTTTAAAATTATTGTGTGTAAACATAAAGGGCGAGAAAAGAATAGAAAATAAAGTGTTATTTGAATCGTTTTCAGTTTCCAGTATTTCGAGAAACGTTATAAGCGAGTCATATTAGATTTGTACAGTGATGCAAATGCTCTTTTAAATAACGCCATTATTTTTCTGTTACTGTCCTAAAAACTCATTACATTCCAAAAAAAAACTATTTACGTTACGTTCTAGTATATATTAGAGACCTGTAGGTGGGGGCCGGCGGTAACATCCTCAATAAAATATAGACGGGGCTATGGCTTAGAAATGATTTATATAAGCTATTACCAGTGATAAGATCATTTTAAGGAGTTGGTAGCCATACGCTGGTCATTCATTACCAGGAGGAGCCATAAGGTGATAATTTTTGGATGTTTAATTTTATTGCCATGTCCAAAATTATTAAAATTCGCAAAAGTTTAAAACATTCAGGAGTTTTCAAACCTTAATGAAATCGTATGTTAAGTTTTTAAAATGTATATTTTTACATTTAAGAAAAAACAACTTATTTCTTCTTTTTCGATAAAGTTTCAAAAAGTTTGCGAATCGAATTTTTTTGATATTTTGGACACAGCCAAAGAAAATTTTATTTTTTATTTTTCCCCAACTCTTTAAGGTAAGCGCTTCCTTATAGTGACCAACCAACTCTTCATTATGAGCATCCCTTTGTGGTGAACACTAGGAGGTGGTAACTATAAGGGAGTGATAACTCTAAAAAGGTTTTAGGTAATCATTTTTATATGTTTTACCTCGGAATAGCAAAAAAATAATAATGTATAATAATAATAATGGTTGAATAGCTATCAATTAGCTAAATTTTAATAGATATATCGAACTGTCTAAAGCGAACATTCAAAAATAGGGAAATCACCGATTCCAAAATGACCATTATTTTACTACGCAACCATTTTTAAACGATATACCAGTTGGTACTTATGAATAACTACAAGGAGTTCTATTAAAGAAGAAATTAAAATATCTGAGCTTTTAATATGGTAGTCTAATTAGATTATAATAAGACAAAAAGTTAACATAAACAGATTATATTTAAAGAGGGATGGAAAACTTGTAAAAATCGTGATGAAAAGAGTTATAGCTAGAGATCGTCATCAAGCTGCCGAATGCGGGACCAAGCGAGTAAAATATTTGGAGAAAGGCCTCTTTCCATACTTTAAAATGAATTAATTTCTCCCAATCAGGCTTCACGTAATAAATCAATCCATCTGTCACGCCCTGTAAAGTGACGGCCCTCCCTAGCAGTATGATGAGTACGATATAGGGGAATAAGGCTTTTTTTATTATATGTTTAAAATACAATGAGTTATTAAAAAATGAACTTTTGATGTTAGCTTCGTCAATTCTTGTTTAAAAATCGCGTGAAATATTAAAATAAAGAGGAACCCGTAAAGTAGACGACTTTGCCAGTAGTTTTGATGCCCTGCATGAGACAAAAGAATACGCCACACCAAGCAAAAAATAAGCAAAGCAGTAGCTCCCACTGAACTTGGCCCATATTTTCGAAGCCATCCGACATCTTGAGCATCCTATTATTGAAATATTCTTCAGCGGGAGAGTCCTTCCTACCAATATCGTATGAATCTAAATCGTTTTTCCCCCAAGTGAGTGGAAAAAAAATAATATATTTAAATCCTCTTTCTTTCCTGTGTAATATTTAAAAAGTATCATGAAAGAGGATGTTGAGGAACAAATAGAATTGACATTTTGGGAAAGTTAAGGGTTGGAATAAAAGGAAAAAATACTATTAAATATTAAAAAAAAGGACGCATTTATTATTAAGAAATTCTATAATTCAGAGGAATTATTATATTAACCTTTTTTTAAAAAAAATATTATAACAAAATTATTAAGCGAAGATCGCGATTAAGTTACATATTTATGGTAACGCGTGCATAAAAAAAACCACTACTATGGCCACGTTTATAGAAACGACGCGTAACTAACAAAATAATGTTAAATATCGTTTAGCGATATAAATTACACGTTGCTTGAGAGATATAGAGGTATTTAACGGTTACTATAAACGAGGCCCTCAACTTCCAGAAAGTTAAAAATATGAATTCCGACTATATGAATCGAATATTTCATTTTTAAAATAATATTGACGAATATCAATTCGGATCAAAAAACATTCATTAGTATTCGATCCGTTCGTTCGTTCATATAAGATTGATTAGAATAAATTCTTAAAAATTTTAGTCAACCATTATATAAAAAAATAATAAATATCATTATTTATAATATAATCCCAAGAATTCGAAATAACTTACTAGAAAGAACGATACAAAATATACTCTTTTTTTAAAAAAATTAGACTTCGTCCAAAATATGAAAAATTTGATTCGCAAACTTTTGAAACTTTATCGAAAGGAGAAGAAATATAAACCTTAAAAATATGTCCAAAAATAAAATACTAGAAAAATTTCAAAAAAATTTGACATTTTACCGATTTCATTAAAATTCTTTCAAAACTTTTTTTTTGAATTTTTTAAAAGAAGATTTTGGACAAAATGTTTTTATGATAATGAATGGTGGGTGACATTTCTAGCGATTATTATTGTTGATGAAGTGATGAAGTAAAGGTAATATTTTTACACCTTATTGGACCTTCTAAGTCCTTTTATTATCCATCAATACCTGATATTCTTATTCTTCCGAAAAATGATATTCTAAATATCGCCTACCTTTTGACCACTATGGTAGAATTTATAATTTAACTCGTGAAGAATCCGAAATGGTCATATATAAATTAAATTTAAGGAAATCAATAAAACTGAGCTTAAGTAATTTTAATATGAATTAATTTAAATAAATATTATCGAATAAATAAAAAACTTCCAATTGACGACATATTTTACAAAAATCAGGTTTTTAACTTATTTTAAATTACTTGCGCCATCTAACTGAAATTTTATTTTTGTGCCAAAATGCGTTATTCAATAAATATGTAGGTTGTTATTGAATATAAAAAAAATGTAGATTGACCTGATTTATTTATTTAGGGCCACTCTGAAAATTTTTATATGACAGTTCTAGGTAACTCCTTACAATCTGAAATTTGGGGGAAAAAAATTTAGTCTAACATTTTCAAATATAAATTACACATTTTAAGCCCATTTAAAAGAAATATATACTAAAAATTAAATTTTTTATAAAATGAGCCATAATAGATATAGTGCATATAATACTAAAGTAATCCCAATTTTTAAAAAAATCTTTTTCGTAAAAATGACCAAGCAGACTCAATTTGAAAGCCTATATCTCCGGTTCCAGTAGATTTAAGGGGCTAATATTTTGGATTCGTCAATTATAATAATTCATTAATTTATATACCAAATATTTAACCAAAATATAAGATAGTCGGGTTGCAAAGTGATTGATTTTATATGGAATGACCTATTAACACAATTACCACAAGAGTTATTTTCCTCCGGGGGTTTTTTAAAAAAAATTAAATTTTTCATAAAATTTGATTTAATATTCAATATTTTTATAAAAAAATTTATTATTATTACCAACTCCATCCATACCCCTAACCCGATCTTTTTTTGGAGATATTAAAATTGCCCGATTACAAATATTGTGATTGACACATTATTGCCAGATATTTTTTTTAATACATAACCATCTTGACATGTTAAAGACATTTAAAAATATGTTATCAAACAAATATTATAAGGAAGGGTTTTTGAATAAATTATAAATTGTCCAAACTTTCTTAAAATAATAATGTTTTATAACAAGTTGTCATGTTTGTTTATGCATTAAAAAAAAATTAGCTGCCAATTTCGTGAAAATTATATGTACATTTAGAATTTACGTCATTCCAATATCGACAAATAGGTATAGTCCTACCCCTAGCCATCTCATATTACTCTAACTCCTCAATCTCCGCATCAGGCCTACTCAAAAAATTCAAAAGATTCATATAAAAAAATCAGTTTTAAATAGAATATAAATATAATAATAAAAATCCTATCATAAACATGCCAAAATTTTTCGAATCAATTACTTTTTAATTTTTAAACTTAACCTTCGATTTTTTTTAAAAAAAAAAATTCGTAAAAATCAATTAAAAATATCAAATTCCCATAAATTTATATTATGAATATATCGTATGAAATAAATAAATTTCAAAATATGTTTTAATCGCACGATGATAGTAGGTAGGCAAAAAAAAAAAAATTTTACTTCCTCGATAAAGCAAGAAAAAAAAATAACCTTGGAAAGAATTTAAAACTTAAAATACATTCCCAGATCTCGTGGCACAAATTAATTGAAATCATTAAATAAATTTATAGTCCTTTCCGTTTTATTAAATCCGTATTCCCTTAATTTCATCACGCTATAAACCAAAAAAATTTGTAGTATTTCTATTTATTGTATATGAGATAATCAATTTCTTTACAACCAATAATTTTTTTCTTTAATCTTTTCAGACCTGCAGAGGTACCATTTGCATGGCCCGGCCCGGACTTTTTTTAAAAAAAAATTTCGACCGAGCCCAACTAGATATTTTTTTTAAAAAAAAATTTTTTATATGATCCGGCAGGTGTACCTGGGACAGGCCTGCAGGTTTTATGGTAAATCTAAAAAGAATAAAACTAAATGCATCACAGATTATTGAATTTGACATTAGAATTTTCGGGAACATTTTCAGATTTATAGATTAAGCAAAATATATCTAGATACCTGATTGATTACGCGACACGTTAAAACAATGTCCTTTGAAGTAGGTCGTATTTTCGCTGGAACATTCTCGGGCTTTGAAGGAGTCGAAACAATTGGCCGTATTCCACCAATTGTCGCAATGGGACCAGGGTAGGACTGCTGTGAAAGAATTGACAAGGTAGAAGAGCGTCCAAGCCAATATCATATTGTAATAGATGGAGACCTGAATAGATTCGATATTAAAAACTATTATACACCTATAGTGCATCATTTTAAAACCTAAATCATTCAAAATAAGTTTAAAATGGTATCTTACGATATAAAATGCTGTACAGAAAAGTCATTATTTTTAAAGTGGCAGGGGTGGCTCGGATTTTACAGATCTGAACCGAGGAGGCGTAGAAAGCTATTCCCACCCGAGTTCATTCCTCGTCGGAAACCATTCAAGGAAGTTGAAAGGTTGTAAAGACATAATAAATGGTTCAACAAAAATTTAATCATTGTTAAGTATTATTGGTATAAGATGTCCCGGGTTACCAATATAAATATTATTATCCACATTTTTGCTTTCCTAATCCGATCGGGGGAAAAAAATGTTCCAATCCCGTCGCGGGTTATGGAAAGTTCCGGAATAATTTAAATCTAGAAAGATCGAATTGGCGCGATGTCACTCAAAAAATCGAGTTTTTTTGAATAAATAAAATAATCGCGTAATAATTTATACTTTTATCCTTGAAACACAAATTTTAATTTTTTTTAAAAAAAAACACATTCTTTTTGGTCTTATTTTGATAAATATTTTTTATTATTATAAAAAATGACAATGAGATTCAAATTAAAGATATTTTGAATTTGATTTTATATAATTTTAAATAAAATATTTTATGAAATAATCCTAATTTAATTTTAGGTTATTCATTTGTTCGCAGTTAAGATAATATAATCTGAAATGACTTTTAAAATTTTTTTTTATCTTCATCTAAGGTAAACTTAAGGATCCGAAGGGTAAAGAATGTTGGAAATTTAGATAAAAATCCGGTTCGGTTTTAACCCTTAAAACCCGGTTCGAATCTTTTAACATGCAAGCGTATTAGAAATCATGTTATAATCGTTTTTTTATAAAGAGAAAACAAAAAATTTTAAGTTGGGAACACACTTCCAATCACCAACTTTGGTAACTTGCATACCATCAAATAGGAATATATAAAAGTATCTAAAAAATAATTATTGATGCATATCAATCAAAACTGGTTGTTAATCGTCTTTAAAGTTGGAATATCAAAAGGTTCAATCAGGTTCACATGCCTTTTGAGTGTAGGGTTCAGGTTAGAGTGACATTTTTTTACGCTCCAGATTCGGCTAGGTTAATTATAACGGTTCGGTTTGGATCTCTGCGCAAAACCCATTATCTAATCGAATTTAAGAGAATATTTTAGAATTCAAAATAGCAAAAAAAGGCTTTGGAATATACTTATTTTATATAAATAAATATCCAAAAGCTTAAATTAAAAAATAATAACGGAATTGCCGAGACCAATATAAATTAATCAATTATTTAGATCAATTTTTCGTAATATTTCTAAAATTATAAAAGGTAGGAACGCTAAAAATTTTGCCCAACTATAGATTATATTAGTATGAATGTTAAGTTTAACCGTATACTGAATTTTGTAGACAAAATCGAACAGGTGCGGTAAAATTAGAAAATAATTCCTATAAAGAAGTATTAAAAATTAATTCTTCGATCAAATGTGTTTTATTTTATTAAAAAAATTTTCTACCAGTAAGGAAACGACCACCATAGCCATCCCAACACCAGTGAAAGCCGGGCTGAGCTTTCGAAATAGCTTGACAGGACCGAGAGAAGAATATTGACCAAGGGCTAACTCCATCAGGAACAAGGGTAGGCCCGCCGCTAAAAGGGCGAAAAGGTAAGGAATCATAAAGGCTCCTTAGATTTTTTTTTTTAAAAAAGTAGATATTTTATCAGATTTTCTGTAGGAGGAAACAGCCGTCAAACTGTCAAATGAATATATATGAATTCTTCCATTTTTCTTTAAGATATAAAACTGATTTTAATCCTATTTTTATTAAAAAATAAGGGAATTCGGCTAAACTGGTTGGCTTTTAATTAGTTAATCAAAAGTCCCGTCCCAAAGTGTCTTATGCATTTCATCCAGAATATACGTCTTAAAAATAGACCTTTTTTTATAACAAGTAATTTTAAAGAAATTTAAATTCGGCTAAAAAATGCTCGGGTCCAGAATTGTGTGTGATGAGTACATTTAAAAAAAAACCCAGTTCGGAAAAGTCTAAACTTAAATTTTCATACCCATTTTTTATTAATCCCCCCTCCCCCATCCTTTCAAAGAAATTTATGTTCTATCTACATTATATCAAATAAGTACTCTATGCAAAGCCCAATCAAAAAATAATTTTTCAAACTACATAGAGGGTATCATGTACAATTCAAATAATTCAGTAATTAATTCATTATTCAATGAAATCGGTTTAAATTAATATCAACATTTTGAGTATTATTTAGCAATTTATAAACTAATTTTTACGATATTCAATATAAATTTAATGAAGTCTTTAGAAGATGACAATTTTTATAATATTTATTCATTATTAGTCTCTAATTTTTGCTTACTTAAATTGTACATTGAATTTATACGATTGTTGGAAGATTGGCCCATTACCACAAACTTGATTAATTAAGTTTTTAAAAAATCTAGGCAAATAAAATACGGCTATTTACAAACGAAGCAAAAGAAAATTTTTATGTATGCGCCAAAAAATTCAAATAGAAATTTTTTTTAGACATAATTATAGTTGCTTAAGTATTTTAATTGAATCTTATATTGGAAATAAAAAGTTAAAAAATTTTAAAAAGATAGAATAGAATAGAATAAAATTTAATTTTCTTAGTAAAACTATCAAAAAATAAAAAATAGGCGTTAGTCCACTTAATTGGTCGATATAGTCATTTAGCAACATTACACGTAGCTATTGTAGTGAAAAATAAAACAAAAATATATTTTTTATTAAAAAAATTTTTTAGTGGTATTTTACTGATCATAAATAAAGGAATATGTGGGTCAAAACACAATTAGTGCAATATGTTTGGCATCGAATAAAACTTTGAGGATAAATCAAAAAGGTATATAAATCCAAAAAAAATTGAATTTATAATACTCCTCCCCACTTAGTAATAGGATATCCCCGGGTTAAAAGAGTTAGACAATTGAAGGAGGGTAATTTAAACAAAAGAAAACAAGATATCACGGGTTCTAATATGTAAACAAATAGTGAGGGTATTCCTGTGAGTGGAAAAAAACTAGCATCTGAGGAGGTTAAGTATTATAATCCACACTATAAAATCAATTCAAAACTCCTTCTCCCTTAGCAGTCAACTATAGAATTAAAAGGGCGAGTAACCGGAGTACGTTCTTTGGGTCTGTATGTACTTTGTCAGGTTCCCTTAAAAGGTGTTGGTTGTGAGCTCAAAGGCTTGTGGTAAAGCAATGCCCTTCGGTTTAGACCGTATTTATTCAAGAGCCTTAAGACCGGAAAACTGGGATCGAGTTCCACGGTTATGGGCGGGTAATCTATTGACCAAGAAAACGGCCTTCACTTAGGCGTCTTTTTTAACAGTTTGGAAACCTTGAGACCGAAAAACTAGGATGATAGTTCATAGTTATAGGAGTTTCCTATATTGGAGTAAAGGGCTTCTCAGAAATGCAACTTTGCTATAAAATAATCAACTTTTGGGGTTTAAGTGGGACTTATAATTTCGATTTTATAGGATGTTATGATTATTCACCCATCAATAGGAACATGCACTAGCGTTTCGCAAAAAATCTGTGGAAAACTGTGCATTAGTCACTCTTTATACGTGCGTCTTTATTTGTTACTTCTTAAATAATTTTAGGTATTTTTGAAAGAATATCTCTTCCTAAAAAGAGGAGTGGTTATCGGTGATTTACAATGTTTCGAGTACGCAATTCTCCCTGATACGTTTTACATATTTTGGAGTATCACCAGTTTGAATAACGTGTCAGGAAAAGGATTTTATGAAGATATTAGTTTCTTCGAAAGGTATTTGTTTGAAGTAAGAGTCATATTTCTTAATAATGATGGATACTGATGATCATGTGTCAATATTCACCATAATTGTATATTAATGACCATTATAGTTACCATAAACAGATGGTCTTTCTCGTTTTGTAAGTTACTTTTCAGATTATGTATGGGCTCATATTTCTTTTCGTAGTGCCACTGAATTTGATATGTATTAGTGTAGTGGATTATAAAGATATTGCTGGGAAGGTAGACTTTGGTAATATTGGTGGTAAGGGTAATATGGGAAAGTATTTTTGTAGAGTAGAATAGATTTTTCTTTGGGTAGTTTGGATCATGACCAATGGTCCTGCAGTAATAGCATGCCCAATCATAATACGTGGTGTAGGAGTGTATATAACTCTTGAAGATCACTATCAGGATGTTGGGGATAAGGCATGACATATTTTAAGAGTGATTTTGTTGAATTTGTGTATTTTATACATTTTGTAGTTATCCTTTAATATTCTTGCTAATTCTTAAGTTCATCTATCCTAATCTTTTCTCTAAACGTTATATGATCAGACATTGTCAATTTATTTTGTAAATTATGATTGAATCCCGACTTCAAATTGTGATGAGAGAAAGAGGTCAACTTATTTCTAAATTGCATTGGGTGTCAAGGTTATATTTAAAATAAGATATGATCTATTGTGTGAATACATTATAGTCCTTTTTTTACTAATAGCTACAATATAATTTGTAACCAATCTTTGGACATATTTATGGTCAAAAATAAAAGAATAACAAAAATCATGGGATAAGAATAAGTCTTTAAAGGAGAAATAGGGCATGGGGGTGAAACCCCACATAAAAGAGATTATTGATAAAAATTTTGTAGCCAACACATCACAAACCCTAAGTATCCTATTAAATATTGTAGTATTCTCTTGTTATTTTTGAATGGACCATAAAATATTAAAACAAAGTCTTTAGATATTCCCTGGTCTTATGGTGTTGCTAAAATAGGACACTCAAAAATGATTTTTAAACATATACATTTTATATACTTACTATTGTTTATAAAAAATTCTATATAACTAGCATTGATGATAGAAATCCCAAAATCTTATTATCATTCAAAATGAGTATTAGATAAAATTTAATATTAATAATTGATTTTTTTTTCCTGTTAAAACAGGTTTTTAAATTGTTATATGAATAATGCAATATTAATCTATGTAAATGATAAAATATATGTCTAAATAAGTTTTAATACCTCCCCCATTATCATAGCATTTAAAGGGAAATCTCCAAATATTACCAAATCCAACAGCATATCCTAAGCATGATAAAAGAAACTCAAATTTATGTGCCCATATACCCCTTTCTTGTATTTGATTTTCATTTTCATTTTTTATTTTATAACTATCTTTTGACCCATTGGATAAAGAATTTTCCATGGAGGCATTGGCTTTACCCCCTAGCTCATTCATTTATATTTTTTGGAATTTAGAAAAAAAACGATGAACAAGCTGTCAGTTTATCGATCTACATTTTACTTTAAACATATGTTTATGCTTTTCATTTAGCAATGTAATCAATCATAAAAATATTATTAAAAAAAATAAATCTAAATATAATAAAAAAAATAATATCACTTTTTTTAGACAAAATTAAGGTAAATCTGTTAGAACCTTACTTAGCTGGCTATCGAGGTCAATAATTTTCAAAAAACAATCAAAAATAATATTTTTTTAATTTTTTTTTATAGCTACACTTATATAATTGTGATTTAATATTATATTTTTTTTCCAATAATTGTGTATAATTGAAAATTTCTTATTTGTACAAAATAATTTTATAGTACAATAAAATTTAATATCATTTTATTAAAATCTCTTCCTGTGTATATATTTATAAAATATTAATGTATTGTAGTTTAATGTAATTTAAGATAATTTAATAAAGTCAGGGGCGTCGCTAGCTTTACTATCTCAGAGGGTAAAAAAAAAATTTTATAGGGGGCAAAAGCTTCCATACTCCCTTATTTGCGGGTCTTCGGCTCGCTTTTGACAGGTATTTAGTCGGGTTTTATATTAATATATTATACTCTTTTAAAATTTGCTAACTCTGAACAATTATTATGAATTTCATATTTTGTCATATTATATTATGCAAATAATTAAAACAATATTCTAAAAATAATATTTTTTAATACAAAATCTATTTATTACAGTAAAAATTAATTCATATATATGCCTTAATTAATAAGTTTTTAAAAACCACATAATATAATATAATTCTTAGAAACTTACATTGACAAAAGGTCATTAAACTAATATAACTCTCTGTTACCATTTTAGACAATGTTTTATAGAATGGATTAATAAGAAAAAATTTATAGAGCTAACCAAATCAACAATTCTTGAAGAAGAGATTATAAACGATCAATCCAAATCATAAAACTATATGGTGATTAGAGCTTCCTCTTAAATGATAGGATGGAAGCTAGATAAGTAATCGAGAAAATTATTGTGAGATATTAAATTTTTAATAGATTATCTTCCATTTTTAATAATATATAAACCACTTTAATTAGGTTATATAATAATTTAAATAAAATAAGTTAATTAAGTTTCACCTGTTAATGCTAAATTAATATTTAGCGAGTGATATTGATATTACATAATTTGATTGCAAGCTGACATAGTGAAATAATTTATATGTTTTAATCTAATCTAATAATTATAGTGTTATAAACGTTCGTTTTTTTGAAAAAAGGTGATGAACGGCGTTCCTTTTTTTTGACGAACTTTGAACGTGAACGCGTTCCTTTTCTTTGATGAACGCGTTCCTTTTCTTTGATGAACGCGTTCCTTTTCTTTGATGAACGCGTTCAATTTTACGTTCGTTCAATTTTAAAAACACTTTTTATTTTTATTTATTTGAAAAATTAATATTAATCCGCATTTTTTAACAAAAAAGTCTTATATTTTTATTTATTTGAAAAATTAATATTTAATCCAATTTTTTAACAAAAAAGTCCTATATTTTTTAATCAGGTGTTTTTACTTTTTCCTCTTTCATATTGCAATTAACGTACCATAACGTGTTACTGCTAGAGAAGATAAGATTAAAGTTTAATAATTTGAATATTTTATTTTAATTTAATAGATTAAGATTTGCAAGGATATAAATAATCAGATTCTGAAAATAAAAATTCAATATTAGATGAATTAGAATTACCATGGCCCTATCAAAAATATTTCACTGTTTTAAAATCAATTCCGAGATATCCTTTTTTTTTGATGAGGAAGAAGAGGGCAGATTGGAGGATGATAACATAGCTCAATTTTTTGAGACAATGGATAAAACATTAAATGTTTTTAATAAATTCCCCTTTTTAAAAGAATTGTTTATCAAGTATAACACCGCAATCCCTTCATCTGCCCCTGTTGAGCGAGTTTTTAGTATAGCTAACGCTGTATTAAGTGCCAAGCGTTCATGCCTATCAGATGAAAATTTTGAAAAGCAATTATTATTAAAAATTAATAAGAAAAATTTTTTATAAATTTATTTTTTTATCGCTCTATTATATTGTATTTATAATTATATTATCAAAATAAAACTATTATTTTTTATCATGGCTAATATATTGGGTTGAAAAATATAAGGCATTTACGAATTTGAACGCGTTCCTTTTTTTGAATTTGAACGTGAACGTGAACGCGTTCAATTTTTGTCAATGAACGTTGAACGCGAACGCGTTCGATTTTTTTAAAAATGTTTACAGCACTAAATAATTATAATAGTATTCATTTAATAAAAATTTAGATAGTCTTATTAATTTTTAATAATAAAATTAAATCTATATATTACGTAATAGAATTATAATAGAAATCGTTCAGGGGGCAATCATTTTAGTTCAAGGGGATATTAAGGAGCCATTAAAAAAAATTTTGCTTCAAAGAGCTATTCAAATATTTTAGGGAGCTCAAGCCCCTGCGTGCCCCTCCCTAGTGACGCCACTGAATAAAGTTTTATATTTTATTATTTACCTAACATAATTAAAAAATATAGTCACGCGCCATTAATTACATGTTTGGTTCCATATTCTAAAATAAAAATGTGTAGCTATATAAAAATAAATTTAAAAAAACTCTAAATAATCTTCAGGTTAAAATTTATAAAGTGGAGAATATTAACAATTATTGAAATTTCTTTGTCAAGAATATTTATAATTATTTCTAAGACAAGGTTCATTATTTATTTAATGAATTATTATAATAAATATATAATATAACTAGTGCTGTAAAATGTAAACGTTACTTAAAAAATATACATGGTATATATCCATTACGTTTGAAAAATAGAATGCATTGCCTTTACTCGTTACCTTGTGAAAAAAGGAACGTTTGCTATTATTTTTTATTACTTTTTAAAAATTTATTTTAAAAATTTTGATCAGATTAACAAGAGCGCTTAGTGTTCAACACAGTAAAGTCTTAGCTATGAAACGTTCACTGTTGCAGAGGATGGGAGGATAGTATTACATTTATAAAATAAGAATTTTAATTGGGGGAATTTATTAAAATTTTAAAAATGATCTTCATTTTTTAGAAATCATTATTGGATTAGATCATCTTCTTTTTACAGATTCTCCTTAAATTTTTTTTTCTCTATCAGAATTTAATCTGACTTCATATTTTTTTTTGCAGGACATCGAGGTTGAAATATGAAAGGGCATGATCAATTATATATGATGGGCAAAATCTATACTTACAAAGTGTAGACACAGTGCCCTTAATTTTCCTTATTTGTTTAAAAAATGTTTCATACTGAGGCTAGGGCAGAGTTAAATCATCTTACCTTGAAGAAATAAGTACTATATTGACATATCAATATTATAATTTTACAATGTCCTCTATGCCATGTCATTGGTACGTATTTATTTATTTTTATACTTAAATAAAAAAAATACACTTTTTATAAAAATAACTAACAATATTAAAAATTTTATAAAAATGTGAATATTACATTTGCAAAAAAATATCTTTAAATCCACATTTTCATTAAAGTATATTATATTTACCAGTTAATTTATATTTAAGTAAATTATATACTTTTTTCCTTCTTTATCAATCTTACATTTTTTTCCTTAAATTAATACCCTAAATATACAAAAATTGATTTAAAAAAATTTGTTATCCAACCCAGTCCGCATTTATCAAAAAAGTGGACCCATGCAATAATCTCAAAAAATTTTCCCAAGCCCATTAAAAAAAATTAAAAAACCCAAGCCCAGTCCACGCCCACAAGAAAATAAAATTAGGTCCATACCTGGTCTTTTTATCATTATGTGTTCAAAATTGTTTAAAATATTTTTCCTTCTTATACTTTATACATTATATATGGTCAGTTATTTTAGCTCCTTAGCCAATAACTGTTGCAAGCCCTGCCAATATTAGAGAGATGCACCTGATATTGACTCTTCTGCCGGTTCAGTGCATTATTATTTTAAAAATTTTTATTTTAGATAACTGGCTCTGTCTTAATCTTTCTTAATGATTTTGCATAAATATTTATCCATCCAATATTTTCTTAAATATTTTTTCCTTACTATTCTTTCTTACATTTATTTGCATTACTCAATAAAAAAAAGAAATTCAAAGATAACTATACATGGTTCACTATTTTTATCGTATCGAAAGCACAATACATATATGATATTTTTATAATTTAAATAAATTTATATATCTATTCTTAATGGATCCTACACAGTGGCGTAGCTAGAAATTTTCCTTAGAGGGGGTCCATACATATAAAAGCCTGGGGGCTTCGCCCCCCGGACCCCCTTTAACGGGTCTTCGGCCGGATTTATCTTATAAATCATAACCATATCTTCGATAATATATATGAATATTTTTTTAAAATGCATCAATAATATGTTATTATAATTTAGTAGATTATTCTCAATGACTTTATAATAATACTACCCAGAATAATTTCAATAGTAATATAATATCCTTTCACAAACATCAAAACCAAAAAATATTAATATTAATGGTATTTATTTGTTATAAAGTCACTTTTAAGTCTTTTGAACGTATAATCTAAAAAAAAATTGCTCTGGGAGGGGTCCAAACCCGAAAACCACCCCCATAGCTACGCCACTGATCCTACATTTTTCGAAGCTTGCCATTTCATCGCATTCATTTTATTGATGCGGATTATATTGTACTACTTAAAATGAAAAACTCTATATGGTTCACTATTTTTATTTTTTTGAAATAATTGTATGATATTTTTATAATTTAAATAAATAAATATATCTAGGATCCTTATTTTTTAAAGCTAAGAGTAATATTTCTTAAGGTTCCTATATTTTTTAAAGCTAACCATTTTGTCGGGCCGAACTATATGCTTTTATATCCTTGATGATTATTTGTATAACACAAAAAAAATTAGACATAGTACATTACTTTTATTATTTAAATAAAATTATATTATTCTTAAAGATCCTACCTTTTTAAACTTGCCATTTCGTAGCACCTCATTATTTTCTTTTATTCCTACTGTTTATTTTGTATTGCTCAGTAAATAAAAAATGATACGAGGTTCGCTAATTTATATGACAATATATATATAATCAATTATTTAATAAGATTTCTATTCTCAAAGATCCTGGCTTTTTTTGAAGTTTTTTAATTCGTTTCCCTGAACAATATTTCTTTTTATCCATGCTGATTATTTTATATAATTCACTAAAAGAACTTAACATGCTTTGTTATTAATAAAATATTTTTTATAATTTAATAATATTATATATATTCTGAATCCTACCTTTTTTAAGCTGACCATTTTGTCTCTCCTAACATTTTCCCTTCATTCCTGCTGATCAGCTCCATGCCTATATTATATTTTTATTAAAAATTTGATATTTCATGATTTGTGATCCATCATCATTTTTTACTCACCACTATTTGTGATTCATGGGAATTTCTTTCCGCACCATTTGTGATTCCCAGGGTTGACTCCCCCTGGCCGAAGGCCGGGCTAGGGCTTAGCCCTAGTTCGTATAATAAATGATAATATTAGTTAATATAAATTGCCATACCTTGATTAATTCAATTTTTATTAGATAACAATCTCGTATAAAATTCAACAACAAAAATATAAATAAATTTAAAAAAAGAAGACCTTTGGTGGTTGATTTTAATTAAAAACTAGGCTTAAATTATTTAAAAAATATATATTATAATATATTTTTTAAGATTATATTTTAACTTATTGAAATCAGTAACGCTGGTCCATTACTTCAATAAAGGTATCATAGTTAGTAATTCCTTTCTAATTATAACAGATCTCGTATCTTAGGACTTTGCTGTGAAATCAAATTTTGTTCTCTAAGCTAAGAGCTTATGTTAGTAGAAGAAATAGATTTTTTTAACACCTATTTAAATATTTTATAATAATATTTCGCTTTGTTTAATTTTGGGATTATTTGTAATTAGTTTTAAGTTAAGATTTCTAAACCTTCAAACTATTTTAAATCCATAATATTTGTTATATAAAGATAAAATTAAAAGGTTAATTAAACTCCCCCCCCCTCATTAACTAAGGGATTAAACACCTGAGTATAAAATTACCTTAAATCTTTATTGATCAAAATCATAAACAATAATTATGTCATATTAAGACTAGAGATCGGGCCCGGCATGTTCGAAAATCCGGTTCATGGGATGGTCAGGAAAGTTTAGGAAAATTAAACGGGTTGGGTCTGGTGAAAATATTTGTAGAGTGTATACAAATTAATAGATTGTTTAAATAAAAGTTTAAATAAAAAGTTATCAATTTATTATGTATAAAAATTTTCACAAGTCGGAGTCGAAAAACACGACCTCGATTCAAAATCTAGGTTGATTTTATAACTCCGACCCAAAATATGGGCGCCGTTTTTTTACGAATCTAAACCAAAGTTGTAATCAACCCGACCGGATATATGGGTCGTTTTTTTAAATTTAACCAAAAGTTGCGTTCGTATGACCCGCTCAAAATTCGCCAAGGTAATGGTATATTTTTAATTAAGTTTAGAAATAGAATATATATTTTATGAATTCGCGGAATAGATCAAATAATTTTTAAAGCAAAAAAATTGTTTTTAGCTTAAATATTTTTACTTTTAATTTTTGGGTCTAACTCTATATCTAAAATTTGAAATAATATCAATTCCTTAGATCATATTATAATTTGTTATATTATATTATATAATATTTTTTAAAAAATGTTAAAATCAATTACTATTAAAAGATTCTTTATATTCCAATTTATACACCTTTTTATTTTTAAAGACCACAACCGCATAAATGATTACAAAATTAATGAAAAAAAAGTTAATATAATTTAACATGAAATATAAAATTATTTGTTTTAAATATTAAAATGCAGAAATAATATATATTATAATTTGACAATGTCTAACCCTCAAAGATAAATTAAATATAATCGCAGTTGTGTATCTTCAGTTCCAATTCGAATTTATAAAAAATTGATAAATGAAATAGCGATTAAGACCCATTATTTATAATATATAGAAATTCATAATTCTATAAGGAATTATTTATCATTTGTAGACTCAATAAAAAGTACAAAGTTCGGTATACATTATTATAAATCAATTTCTTAAAATTTTTAATAAAATATTGTTGACCTTTAAAATAAAGCTATATTTAAAATTGCCCCCCCCCCCCACGATTCCCCCTAGTAAAAAATGAGTGATGAGGTTTTCAAATAAATGTTTGAATTCGTTTGGGTTGAAAAAAACAATATTTTCAGCATACATTTCCAAATTCAAATAAATTATAAAATAATAAAATTATTAACACCATATCATTTAAAATATTAAAAATTATCAATGATTATATATTTTAAATGACTATATTATGATAGATATATGGAAACAAAGGGAATTTACAATAGATTTTTTAAGAAAGAAATATAAATAAGCTTAAAATATTAAAGATAATTTTTTTTTTCGGATAATGCATCCTCTAAAACCTTACCCATAATGGTTTTTGGTGTGATCAAAATTTAGAATTAATTTAACTATGTTACCGTCGAAATAATTGTCCACAATATGTATCAAAAAATTTTGACCTAAAATGTCCCACTTTATTATGTTAACATTTATCACGTTTATTGGCCAGTTAGGTGGTACGTAAATTATATTCCCATCTTCGTTATAGAGATATGAAAGTTTTGGATTCAAATAGAATTCATTACCTTTAGCTTGATAGCAATGATCATAATGTAGACCTATGAGATAATTTAGTAAAATGATGATAAAAATGATTTGTATATATAGTCATCCATTTATTATTTCAAATCTAAATATGCATATTTACCATAAGTATGATCTTTTTTGAAAAAATTATGAATAATGCTTAAATACAAAAATAAAACCTGGGTATATATGTATTTTAACGAAATTCTCAACTGACACATTTACGATATTTTCAAGTGCTCTATTAGTTGGAACCCATATTGTATAATATACATTTCTTTTGAATGTTAAATTGGAACGATCTAGAAACTGTCTAAATATGCTGATTTCTGAATATCCGGCTAGAATTTCTGATAAATTCGCTGGTAGAGGAACTAATGCCTTATTTCATAAATTTCATTAATATCTTTAAAGTACAATACAAATATATTTATTTAAAGAATTTTTATAAGAATAATTCATTTATTAGCTTTTGACTAGGCTTACTAGCTACTATGGATTAGTAAATAATTAACCAAATTTATCTTTCATAAAATATTAATACTCTCAAATATTAGAATACCAACCCGAATTTAATTACTTAAAAACAAACATGTAAATTATGTTCATACTAATTTTCAAACCTTAGGGATAAAGCGAAATTTTCCTCCACAAAAATAGTAGATTTTTTTACTAATCTTTCTTAAACATTGTAAATTGTCGAGTACCCCATTTTTCTAATATTCAAATTTTTTAAAAATAATAAAATAAGGATAAGTAAATTATAGCAATGGTTACATGCCAATATCGTAAAAACGGAATTAAAATTTTAGGCTATGACCAAGATATATTTTAAAAGCCTCATAAACTTTAAATTTATAAAATTATGAAACATGCCTAAAATCTTTCATTAAAATTTTTTTTATAGTTTTATAAATTTTGAAATTTATAATTAACATCTATTCCCATTCTAGCTAATATTTAAAATTATGAAGAAAAAATCATCAATTAATTCCTATTTCAAAATCAACAAATGTCAAGCTCTACTAACTACTAGTGCTACAGCTACATCAGAAAGTCTTCCTGATAGTATAAATTTCTATTATTATATTTTGTTAATTTTACTTAATTAGGAAAATGTTCAAATGTTGTTCTAATTAATGTTTTTAAATGGATGCAGATAATTTGTACTAAAACAAATTTAGAGTATTTGCAATCAAAATTTGATTTTAATAAATCTATTTACAAATGTGTAAATGTTATGACCTTGGAACAGTAACCATCAATTGATGGATTTTCTAATTTAATAAATATATTAAAAAATACCGACAGGTATCAATGTTTTGTTTTGAGGAGATTGTTATGCTCTCAATTTTTTATGATTCTCCAGAATATTATAGTAGATGGTCTAAAAGCAGAGAAAAAATGGGTAAAATATTTTCGCAATAGCGATAAATCCCCATACTTGAAAAAAATATGTTAGCATGTATTCTCCTTACCTCATTCCAATGCCTCAGCGGACCGCATTTTTAGCCTAATGAGGACTGTGTGGAGAAATTGGATTGTTCTAACAACATTAGAGGCAGAGCTCATGTTTAGACAAAATTATAATATGTCATGCCAACAATTTTATAAATATCTCAATAACGACGATAAATGTTTTGTTCCAATATTTAAATCTCAAATAAAATATAATTGATAACTACAAACTATTAGAATTTTCTATATTTTTTTATATTTTATAATTTTTACATTGTAAAATAAAGATGTTTGGTTTTTTTTTTAAATATAATTAATATGTTTTAATAAATAAAGATATTATATAAATTTTTTATTTAGCAATTTCCATATTTCTACCGCAATTTTCATATTTTGGCAAGACAACCCTGCTCTCTATACTCTTTATACATTATTATATCAAAATGGAGCCATAAGATTAGACCTATTTTATAATCAGTTTGTGGGATTTTTAAAGATTAAATTGTTAAAAGGCGGGAAAAAAGTTATGACATATTATATAATGTATTTGTGCCAAAAAAATTCAAATTACAAATGTATCGAATTTTAATTAAATTTCATAAATTACAAATTTATTAAATTTTATTGCAATAGTGTCATATTTTTACAAGTCAAAATTTAAAAAAAAAATTAGATAATAATATCACAATATTTTTTGAGAATCATATCTTCTATTACTCCAACAAGTAGATTATCATCACTTAATTCAAGTTTTATTTTTATCCAAATGGCTACATACAGATAATCTGCCAAGCAAGATATGCTCTTAACTAATTTATTTTATAATATATTTGAAATTGGCAGATATAATAGAAAAAGTTTTCAAGGGCAAATAATTCATAGAAATAATTCCATCTCATAGGCGCGTTCTTTGCAAGATTTATTTGACAACATACATATCTGTAATAATTATTCGTTAATCTGTTGAGTATATTTAAAGCATTTCATAATTATTGATTCTATGCAAATTTTAGCTGCAATTACAACCTGCTGGTATGACAAAAATGTTCAGGCTTGCTTAATATTTTCAAACTATTAGGAACATAATAGAACAGTCGCATGTCGAAGAAAATCTAGCAAGAATTGAGGCTCAGGTTAAGGTTCGAGCTAACTTTTTAACAAAAGAAAAAATCCTAGACTAAGATGAAAATTTTTGGTTATAAACTATGTATATCTAAATAAATAGTTATAAAAATATCCAATAATAACCCGAATAATAAAAATTATTTGTCAAAACTGATATTATTATAATGAAAGTAATGTTTTAAGAAGGCTTATTGACAAAAGAGTTTTTTGCATAATAATTTTATTTACATTCATGAATCTTATATTTCTATTTAAGATAATTTGATCCATGAGATTTTATTTAAATATTTATTTTACAATGGGGATTTTTAAATTTTTACAAAATTCTTACATGCTTATAATCATTATACACAGAATCATTTGCGACTTCAAGATGTTCAACTCTATCTAGGGTATTAGATGGCTTTATATAGTTTTCAAGGAACTCCATGACGTAAGATATATTTTGTCTCAATTTTTCTTTTATGTTTTGATCAAGATTCTAATGTATGATACATGAATATAATTGTATTAAATGGTCGAATAGAAAGGTAAAAGAAAAGAAATAAATTAAAGAAAATGAAAATGAAAATAAGAGGTAAAAAAAAAGAAAAGAGAGATATATTAATAATTAAAATATTTAAAAAATGAAAATTATATTGTTTTTTACTAGGAAAGCGGCATTGTCTGGTATAAGAACTAATTTATCTCGAATTTCGTTCAGAATACTTAAGTTATATCTAATAAAGTAATTCATGAATACACTAGCTTGTGATTCTCCCTGCAAGATTTCAACCAATGATATTGCTTTTATTATAATTATATATATTCGCCAAAATTATCAAATATATTTATATAATATATTTCTAAAAATTAATAAGGGACTATAAATTTAAAAAAAGATATGTTATTTGATCACCAACCCACAGACTATCTTAACGGAAAGATCATGAAGAATTATTATTTGATTTTTAAATATATAAAAATATATTCTATTTTATAACAATGACCTTTTTATGGTTAGAATTATTCTGCTGAATGGTAGAATAAATTTTTCAAAATATAATTATCAAAGTTTTTCAAATCGGAATTGAAATAATTTAGAATTAATGAAATTAATTTAATATGACATATGTTAAAAATGAACTATTACGAATCGCGGTAAATATTTCCTTAAAAAAATAAATTGTATTTAATAATTTTTTTCATAAAATTTCGAAAATAACTCCTCCCCTCTTTTCCCTCTAAGAAAAATAAATATAAATATTGAAAAATAAATAAAGGTAGGGAAAAAAAATAATTGATTACATTTATTCGATATTAAGACTAGGTCCATGAATATAATAACCCCGTTGGATAAAACACGAGTGTCGGTGATGGATTCATTATTTATCATGTTTGAGCTTATATTTACAATCGAACCTTCTAAACTTTTAAACGCTTGAGGTTTTTTATAGAGACAAGGACAAATCCATTTTTCGATTATGTGCATTTTAAGCGTTTCTATAAATAAAATAATTTTTTTAATTTAAAATTTATAAAATGTATTCTATTATCAATACATAAATAGTAATGTTTTTTTAATATGTAAATAGGGTATGCATACTAATTATTCATGTAAATATAACTATAAATATATAGATAGATATCTAAAATAAAAAGTAAATTATATTTATAATCTTTTATGGAAGCTCGGGTAAGCATAACTAAATATTTTTAAACAAATGCCTCATGATGGGATTAGACTAATACTTTCGTCAAATTAAAGAAAAAATATTGAACAAAATAAGAAAAATATCCGGGGAAAATAAAAACCTTTAGAACATTCTACGTTAGATGCTAAATCTTGGATGAGTTGTGGAGATAATTGATTTAAAACTAAATTCGATGGTAATATGATAGTATAATATTTCCCAGGATCAAGAGTCAAATTGGCGAGTCCTGAGACTATCAAATCTACGTTATAAAAAAAATAATTTATATGGTAGAAGATAAAGATAATTTCAAATTAAATAGGAAAAATTTAAAGGAGGAATAAATAAAATTGAGTGAAAAATTGTATTACAAAAGAAAAAAAATATATGATAATTCTTTGAACTTAAAAAAGCCTTATTTTTACAATTATCGAGAGATCATTTCATAATAAATTTTGATATATTTATACATTTTGCCATAGTCGAGTTGGGTTCTTGTTGCTTCAGAAAATCATACACAGTTTGCTTAGTGCGAGGAAGTTGGTCTTTTAATTTGTAAATTATTCCTTGGGTAGTAAAATACTCCTTTATCACGGTTACACAATTAACTGCCCATTGGAAACGCCGACTATTAACCTTGTGAATTGTGAAATGTAAGCCATATGAATCGGAACCCATCACAATTCTTTGCATGTCATTTAATATGAGACCTCTAGGCAAATATTCAGAAATTATATTTTGATCCAGAAAAGCCGAATTGTTTATCGGAAGGAAAAGTGTGATATTCCCCTTAGTATTTAAAATTTTAAACAGCTGGGAAGTATTTACTATAGAAGGATTCTTGCGAATGTAATTAAGGCCTTTGAGAGTTTTGGTCATGTTTTTAAGTACCAAACCTTAAAAACAATTGATTTTTTTTTATAAAGATTAGAAATTCTAAAATTAAAAAAATTTGATGACCGAGAGAATTCATAAACAGTCATTTTCGGTATTTTGGTTGAATATATTTAGAAATATTTTTAGTGGATTGATTTTATATAAAATGTAAACTTTAAACCTATATCAGAAAATAATTATATTTTGATTCTTAATAATTGATATAGATAATATCATAAATCCTTTATTCACAAAAATACTTTAAAAAGATTATAAACCTGAATAATCCAAATTTTTAGCTAGGACCCTAAAGAAAATATAATAAACTGTTTATTCAAAAATAAGGCGAAATCCATAATCAAACTCCTCAAGCTAAAAAAGTGCTATAAAGCAACAATTTCGATGGCCTTTTTAATCAAACAGAAAATTAATTATGAAATCACACGCAGCATTTTTAAATTATTCCCTGAGGGTTCAATTCAGCAAAACTTTTATCTCGAATCGTGAATGTAATTTATCGCAAATATTTTATATATTCCGCGAAGACAATATCGCGAAAGATAAACCCTTATCACGAAAGCTAATAATGACGATTTTATTTTGAAATATTTTATTTTATGAGCATATTAATTGAATAACATTTTTTTAAAAAATAGGTACAAGATTGATTCAATGATATCTTTTAGCCTTAATAAATTTATATGATTAAAAAACTTAGATTTGATTTATAAAATATACTATTGGAATAAAAAAAAAATTTGCTATCATGTCCTATGCTTTCCCTCAAAATCTTATTAAGAATGGTGCAGAAGGAACTCAGGCTCATAATAAATCAATAAATTTATTAATTAAAACTTGATTCTTACTAGCGAAATTGATATCTAGGTTGCGCCAATATTTATTATCTGATAAGTGCTTAATATTTATAAATTCATTGATAAGTTGCCAGTAACTAACCAAAAATAGAGGTATAAGCTAAATATTGTATTCCTCAATTCAAATATTTATGAGAATCTTAAGAATTTACTATTCTTCATAGATATTTTTTAATCTTTTATATTTACTCAAATATAAAATATTAGTTGTTATATTTTCAAAAAAATCGATAGGAATCTGAATCTAATAAGCACGAAGTTTGCCAAACTTTGACAAGCATTAATTCTAAAGCTTAAGAGAATATGTAATTTTTAATTACAGTACATGTAGGTTAGTGCTTCAACAAAATTATCATTTTTTCTTAATTACTCACAATTAAAACTAAAGTAATTTTCGATGAAATCCCAAAAGATGATTTTACTAGTAAAGATTTTAATTTTATCGGAATTAAATTTCTTACAAAATATAATATATCCAGAATTTTTTACCTTTTTTTGCATGTGAATTATTTTTTGAGTTTTAAGATTAATCGTTATACAATGTTCTTAATAGCTGAAATTTAATTAAAAAATTCTGAAAAAATTTTGATTTGTAAAAATAATCTGAAATCAGCAAAATATTTTAGCTCTCGGTATCTTTTATATTATATAAAAATTTCTAAGTATTTCAGAATATAACTTTTAATGGCACAAAACACATAAAATTTATTTTGAAGGGATGGGGGGGGGGGGGGAGATAAATTTATTGATGTCGTGCTGTCTTAACTATTTTTAAGTTATAATTAGGTATTTTATCGGTTACCAATTTATAAGTTTTTATAAATATTTTATTAACATTTTTTGGAAATAATTAGGGTTTCTTCAATTATTTTTAGCAATAACTATGTCTTTCAATAACTAATTATACCTCTTAATATATAAAAAAAAATATGAATTATATTTTTATAATGTTTTTTAAAGAAGTAGATGATTCCTAAAATTTATATGAACAAACTATAGTAACTCGATTATAAATGATTTTATCTAGTTCATGGTGTATGTTGTCAATCAGGCCCACTCTACTTTTTATGAATGAGGAAATTGTTTTGCATTTAATATGATGAAATTGTTCTGCATTTCATATCATAAAATTGTTTGCATTTGATATTTATAAAATTATCTTGCATTTAATATTTATATGGGATTATATCTGAGAATGTTTGTTATTATTATATATTATTTTACTATGAAAGTGTAATTCTTCACATTAGTTCATTATTTTATTAATTTTAATATATTTTCAAAAGTCATTGTAAGTTTTTTTGTTGTAAATTTAATAAATGATTTAATGTTATTAAAATGAAAAGTAAATATTAATATATAAGAGGTATTGTTATGAATGAAACTTAAAGCTAAAAAATGAGATTAATAGATGCCTATTTATCATATAACATTAGTTTCATATGTAGCTTAAAGTAAAACACTAATAATATCTTTTAAAATAAAATTTGCCCATCTTACTGATAAAAGATTTTTTATAATCAAATTAAATTAATAGAGACTCAAGGATCTAATAATAAAGCCAGCTATTTATGAAACATATATATCAGGAATAATTTAATTGCAATATTTTGGTTACTATCTTATAATTCCATTATAAATTCTCTCGTATCTTTAATGATTTTACCATATATTTAATTAAAAAATAATTATTAAATTTTTATAAGTTTGGATGTATGACCATATACTTATATTCTACTTCTTTCATTTCTATACTCAATACTAAAATATATGGCTCGGGTGTAGTTCCACCCTCATATAACTTCATATCTGGGTTACAAGGTTTGTTAGTATCCTTGAATAAAAAATCGGCATAATTTTATGGAGGATGGGCCTTCATATAATTTACGTACGCTCGGGCAGGTCTATGACCAACGTGCTAATAAAGAGAAAGAAAGATTTATATGGGCCATTTTGACACATTTTAGTTTATTTTTTTTAATAGTAGTACTAAAACCTTGAAATTCTTAGAAAATTTCAACGTCCTAAAAAAATAATCTGCCAAATTTGTTGAACCACTTTTTTTCCTAGGAAAGTGAGAGGAAATTTATTTTATGGATTTATTATTTAGGAGAGATAGAGAGAGAGAATTTTTAATATCTGTATCCTTCTAGCAATTAAAATTAAAATTTTCATTTGATGCCTGTAAATACATTTAATAAATTGTACTTTTTAATATGCCTTATAATCGATTTAATGCACAATTTTTTTTTTGTTTAAAAATAAAAATATAATTATACTAACTTTGATTGCAATATGGTTGTAAACGATTTTTTGCAGTGGTATATCCGTGACAACAGGAATAAGTTTTCGCATATTCCTCCAGCAAACGAGGGCCTCTATATATCCTGTATAATTTTTATATGTTTAAATGGGAAGAAAATAAATGATACACCATCACCATAAAAAAAAATTCAAAAACACATATTACTTATCCAAAAAAAAAATTAATTATTTTTGATTTACGAAGCTTTTATTTTAAGTTTGCTACTGGTCTTAAATTCACCAATTAAATGCATGCAAGAATTGTCAAAATAGTTTGTTTCATTTAAAAAAAATTGTGAATATTTTAAACTTATTTTTTTTAGAAATAGAATATTTGCCGAGAGCAGCTTTAATTATCAGTTGATAAGAAATCTATGATGGAAAAAATTCCGGAGATAAAATTCCACAATTGGTTGTTGCTTGTTAACCTATTGGTTCGAAAAGTTGTAAAAGAAGCGGTATCCATTTAACCCGAAAAAATGCTAATAATTTTAGCTTTCGAGTATAGTTAATAAACCTAACCTCAATATGAATGCGAACATTAAAAATGTTTTATAAATTGTCGGGTTAGGTTTAAATCGATTTTTGGGTAAATAAATAAATGGTATTATTTTTGTACGGTGTGTTTTTTTGTTTGTATATGTTAATTTCAATGCAACTAATTTAATCTCCTGTAAACATTCATTATATATTATATATATATTTTATATATAATTAAATTTTTGCAAGCAACATTGTAATAGTGCGCAGAAATTGAACGTTTCAACGCAGCATTTCAAAACGAAAATAAATGCATTTTAAATGCATTCGTTTAAATTAGACAGTATTTTATTTTTGATTTAAATTTAGGCGTTTTATATATATAAAAAAATAAAAATTAACGATTCAATTTAAACATAGATGCGTTTACATTTTTTTATTTGCATTTTGAAACGCCGCGTTAAATCAATTTATGCGAACTATAATAAGAAAAAACTGTCAAATCCAATATCTTAATACATCATTCCTTATAAGAAAAAGAAGTAAATAAGATTTGGATTTTTAAAAAAAATTATATTTGAACTAAAAATAATAAGTGGTGAACCTGTATAAGCATACACGAACATCGTAATAATCTTGACAAACGATCCTCGTTCTAATTGGAAATACGCTAGTTCTTTTAAATCTAATTGGCTCGTAATCGTCAAAATTTTCTTGCACCCTCTCCAATATCGTGATCTTAGCTACACAAACGTTGGGCCTTGAACATTAAAAAAAAATATTTAAAAAAAATTTACGCATTTTGATAAAATTGGGAGATATACCGATGTTAACACAAAGAATCCTCGAATGATTTTGATTCAGAGATTCGAATAAGAATAAATCTTTCTTTTTTTTAAACTACAATAAACTAAGTATCTTTGATAATACTTTATTAAAAAACAAATTTTCATTTCAAATTATAATTAAAAATATATATTATAAATCAAATAATATATTAAATAATTAGAAAATATATCAAATGTCACAAGTAATTTGCTGAAAAAAAAAACGATATATATTTAAAATAAAAACTTCCATCATTAGTTATAAAAATAGGGGTAAATAATAGAAATTTTGATATCATTTAAACGTATATGCATATATGTCAGAGACCGGCAGGCCTGATCTTAAGTTCGGCCCGACGTAGTCCGGGTACACTGGTTGGGCTGCATTTTAATTTTCTTAAATGTTCCGGGCCGGGTTTGAAACTCTATTTTAAAATGCACAAGCCATATATTTTAAAAGCAAATATAAATCGCCATTTTTAGCTATAAAAATTAAAAATAAATGTAATGTATTTTTTAAAAAAACCGAACCCGGAAGGAAAAAATTTTTGAAAAAAATCCGGACTGGTACTAATTCTGATATATATAAAATAATATTTAATTCAATAAATATTTCAAAATAATTTCATTTTGAAACTTAAATCTTTGCTTTTATAGACTATTTTATATCTTAGTTTATAATAGATCTAATTCAAAGATGCTAATCAAATTTTTTAAAAAGACATATGAAGCATTGATTCAACTTTTTATTAACCGATAATAATATACCATCCATTTATAAGGCCAGTTTTATGGATACTAGCAACTGATATAATTTTTATATCCAAATGTTTTAAAAAATAGTCCTAAATGAATACTAAAATAATATGTATCAATATCTATTTACCCATTTGTCCAATTAGTGATTACAATAGGGGTATAGAATGATAGAAATATTGCCAAAAATTTATAATTCATTTATTTATTATAATAATTTTCTCAAAAAAATATGTATTTATAAAATATAAATTTTTATTTAATTATTTTTTTTTAATTTTCAACCTTAGATTAGCAAAAAAAAATTGTAAAACAATGTAATATAGGAAATAAAGAAAAAAGATAAGAAAGAATAAAGAAAGAAAGAAAAAGATTGAATGAATGAAGGAAAAATTAATAAAAAAGAAGAACATTCTTAAAAATTTAGGTGTATTTCATATTATCAATCCCTTAGCAAATAAAATTTTAATTTTTGATTCAGGGACCTAAAAGAAATTATATCTCAGGAATTATTATTGTAATATGATGCAGATCCATTTATAGTTTTTTGTAAGATATTACTTTGTGCATTATTCGTAGTCACTTATAAGAGCCCGCTAAAAATCATTAAATGGTTTACTAGACGGATCCCATATATACATTATTATTAAGGGGTAAAAGCCTGATTTTAGCTTAAAAGTTTTGAATTTAATGTGAAATTTATCATTAACCTTTTGAAGCAAAGTTTTGTATTACACTTTTTACAATATATTATACTATCTCCGTTGTATTCACGTTAATGCAAGAGCACATATTATTTATTTTGTATTAATCATTCATAATGTTTTAAAATTTTAAGGTATATGAAAAAAAACTGACCAATTTAAAAAATTCTATATTTAAAATAAAATTATTATATAAGATATTATATAATATTTCGGACATACAAATTGATATAAAATCATGAAGAACTTTTCTATAAAATTGTGGGTTGATATTTTAAATCAGAAACAAAACTTAAGTTTCATTTGACTAATAGGGAAAATTGATGGTAATAAAAGGTAGGAGGATAGTTGATAATTTAAAATTAATAATTTTTTTAAATAATGATTCTTAACAATATTTTTAGAAAAAGTTCATTTTTATATAAAAAAGAAACTATTATTTAAAAAATGTTATATACCTCAAAAGGATCAAAATGTTAAGTGTAATAACAATCGAATATAAATTTAATTTAAATGTATATTAAATTTAAGATGACTCAGTAGGTTGTAAAATTTAATTCATAATGTATTTAATGAATTCAAATTTATGTAATATATTTAATTATTTTAATTTAGGATTTTTTAAAAAAACTTGATTTATCAATCAACCAAATAATATCTAGCAAAAGACTTTAAAAAAGTTTGATAAAATGGAAAATTTATAAAATTTAATTATATCGCTCTCATTACTATATATATGTTTAAAATATATATTTAGAAAAAGTCTAGAATAAATACTATTATATACGATGGACAGGCTATATAGAGCCGTGATAAGAAATTTGAACGGCAAATTTCTAAGCTATGTTCTGCCAAATATAGCAATTGGGTAATTTTTCTTCTTATCAAACGTATTGAATCAATTTATAATATTTATATTAAAAAAAAATAAGATATGCAAATTTAATTTAAGGGTACAGGAAATATATTGTTTATTTATATAAAAAAAATAATTAACCAATAAAATACATTAACTTCGAAAATAAATAACATAATATCTAATATATATGATCTTCATAATCAAAACATGGTGGTTTTTTTTATCATTAAAGTATTAAAATTTAATAAGTCTATATAGCATAATGTTAATTTTTTGGCCCTCTACCAGTAACGAACCAAAAATCCCCGTTTCAAAAACGAAGGTTCTGCTGGTGGGCTATTACGAGCTTTGTTATTTTGTACAAAAATTTATTATAATGGTACATTGCGTTTCTCTTACAAAGATAGGTTATAAAATATTTTTAATAATATACTATATTACGTTAAGATGAAGTAAATATCAATTAATGTTGTACAATGGACATTATTAGCTATATAAATTAAAAATAAATATTTTTTAAAAAATCCGAATCGGGCCTGATATAACCCGGGTCAGGCCGGGACGAAAAATTTTTGGAAAAAAGATTCAAACCGGGCCGTGCAAATGGTACCAATGCAAGTCTCTATCATATATATTATATGTATATATATAATTAATATAATATCAATTCATTAAATATTTCAAATTATTTTCATTTTATAACTACTAAATTAATTTCATTTTATAACTTGAATATTTGCTCTAAATTCAAAGAAGCTAATCAAATTTTTTAAAAAGACCTACGAAGCATGATTCTACTTTTTTTTAGTCTATAATAATCCAACATCCGGTTATAAGGCCGGTTTTATGGATGTTAGCAAAGGATATAATTTTTAAATCTAAATATTTAAAAAAAAAATAGTAAATGAATATTATAAAATATGTGTCAATATCTATTACCCATTTGTCCAATCAGTAGTGGTTATAATAGGGATATAAAATGATAGAAATATTGGCAAAAATTTATAATTCATTTATTTATTATAATAATAATCTAAAAAAAATAATATGTATTAAAAAAAATATAAATTTTTATTTACTTATCTTTTTTTACAAGAAAAAAAAATATTTCCAACTAGGTTAGCAAAAAGAATTTATTTCTTTATTTCTAAGCAAAAAAAATGTAAACAATGTAATATAGGAAATAAATAAAAAAAGAGAAATAAAGAAAGAAAAAAAGAAATAAAAAGATTGAATGAAAAATTAATAAAAAAGAAGATTTTTTTCAAAAAATTACATGTATTTTTATATTATCAATTCCCTAAGCAAATAAAATTTTATATTTTTGATTCATAGGTACAAAGAAATTATTTCTCAGACATTATTATTGTAAAGAGATCTGATGCAGCTCCAATTATATTTCTTTGGCGGATATTATTTTGTTCAATATTCGTAGTCAGTTATAAGATCCTCATGCTGAAAAATTATTAAAAATGGTTTTGCTAGATAGATCTCATATCATTGGCATACGCAGCGGGGGGGGGGGTCAGGGGGACAAATCCCCCCCCCCCCATTTTAAAGCCAAAAAATGCAGATGCCGGATGTATTTTTCAAAAATATTTTTGTTTAGAGTGTTGTGCAGATTTAATTTAAACATTTCCATATTTTTTAATTCGTTTGTAAATAAAAATTTTAACTTGTAAAAATTGATAAGAATATGTAAATATGTTATTTTAACAACTTTTTACAAGTCAAATAATTTTATTTTCAAATAAATTAATAAATATGGAAATGTTTTGAATTAAATTTACACAGTACATATTAATTTATATTTGTTAATATTTATTCCTATCTCATATTAAATATATATTTAATTACATTTATTATCACATTCATAACTAAGTTTATCAATTAATTTCGATTTCAAGTTTTCCGGCGTAATATTATCTTATTATTTTCAAATTTTTAGTGGCTTAATATTTATCTATCATTTTTAAATTTCTAATCAAATAATAATTATTCTGAAATTGTCCGACAGGGAGAAAGAATTGCAACCTTGTCCTACGAGATAGAGTTTCCGCCATCAAGAAGTAACAGCTTTTATGGAGTTAGAAGAGCCGATTATTTGCTATTACTGACATATCACAATGGCCTGAAAGATATTTTTCCTTAGAAGCAAGAAAATTATTGGATTCAATGCTTATTCCAAATTTTTTTTCTCATTAGAATGTACAACTATTTTATGTATTATTGACTTGATTAATAAGATGAGAATAGCGGAGAGCATTTTATTAGAATTCAAGGAAATTAGGGCTAATGTTTATGAAGAATTTCATGTTTTATATGTTATTGTTAAGTCAAAAGCAGAGCTATACGTATTTAATATTTGTCTCACTCGACTTGCAGCAAGGCAAGCTCATAGAAAACATTAATATAGGATCAGTAGAAGAGTATATCTTAGATACAAATACATTTATAAACCAAATAAATGAATGGTTTTTAATTTATTATGCAGCACTTACCAATCTGCAAATATTATTTCCATAAAAGCCTTCCCAACCTTTTTCAGATGGTGATAGAAAAAAAATATTTGTTGGATTTTTATCATGAAGATGTTAAAGTATCTTATGATGCCTTATTATAATAACTATGTTTATTGATTAACTATGGTTGATGCAGTCCCAAAAAATGCTATGGATGCTCTGCATTAATTCAAACACATTTTAGATAATATTCTCAATGTATTAAAAAGGTTTATGTATATTAGTAACTCTTCCCAATAGTAAACTAATGAGAGAACATCCCAATAGTAAACTAATGAGAGAACATTCTCTTTTTTAAGAAGAAACAGAGCCCTGCAGAGGTACCATTTGCAGGGCACGACCCGGATTTTTTTAAAGATTTTTACGGCTAAGCTCAATTTTCAGGCCCGGCCCGGCCTTTTTTAAAATAAAATTTTCAGGCCCGACCCGGATTTTTTAAAAATAAATTATATTTATTTTTGATTTTTATAGCTAATAATAACGATTTCAAATATAGGCTGTTTTAAAATATACAGTCCGGCCTGGATAGGCCCGGCCTAGATGTTTTTTTTTAAATTCAGGCTCAGCCCGGGTGTTTTTTTTAAAAAATTTTGGGCCCGGCCATACTGTCCAGCTTGGGGGCTGGGCCTGCAGGTCTCTGAAAAACATACCAAGAAGTACAACTTTTGAAAGATTGAAAGGTTTGAATCTTTTGAATATTCATAGGCATTTGACAACAAGAAAGGATGAGATAATTGAAAAATTAGCTAAATCCCAACGAAGATTGGATTTTACATTGTAAATATATAACATACAAAATACAATTATTCCCTAAGCTTTTTGTGTATTAATTTATATTTCTAACATTTAAATTTTTTATACTTTATATATAAATTTTAAAGCTCAAAAAATTCAAATTTCTATTTTGGGTCATTTAAGTGATTCTTTACATATAATTTTTTTATAATTCAAATTTATTTAAAATTGTGTATTAGAAATAATTATCCTAATAAATTTATGCTTGATATTTTTAAAAAACAATAATATTTCTTAAAAAAATTTATTATCCCCCCCCCCCAGACCAAATTCCTGCGTACGCGTATGCCTATTTGAATAAGACATGTGGGTTAGTGAAGAAATATACATTATTATTAAGGGGCAAAAGCCTGTCTTTAGCTTAAAGGTTTTGAATTTAAAGTGGAAATTCGAATTAACTTGAAGCAAAACTTTAGTTTGCATTACATGACAATATATTATATCCTCCGTGATATTCACGTAAATGCCAGGTGTTATATTGTTTATTTAGTATTAATTATTCATAATATTTTGAAATATTAATTATTTTAAGATAAATGAAATAAAAACCAATTTAAAAACTTCCATATTTAAAATAAAATTTCGGACATATGCCAAATTAAATTAAACCATGAAGAACATTTATAAAATTGTTGGTTGATATTTTAAATCAGAAATTTAAGGTTCCATTTGACTGATAGGGAAGATTGATGGTGAGAAAAGGAGGATTGTTGATAATTTAAAATAAATAATTTTTTTTATTAATGACTTCTATAAAATATTTTAGAAAAAGTTCATTTCTATCAAAAATATGAAACTATTATTTAAAAAATGTAACATCAATAGGATCAAAGTTCATAAGTTAAGTATTCAATAACAATCGAACATAGCTGACTCAGAAGGTTGAAATTTAATTTTTAATTTCATAATGTATTTAACGAATTTAAATTTATGTAATATATTTGTTAAAAAAATTTGATTTAACAATCAACAAAATAATATCTAGCAAAAGACTTTTTAAAAAAGTTTGATAAAATGGAACTTAATTTATAAATTTTAATTACGCTCTCATTACTATATATATATGTAAAAAAAAGCAAATATTTATTTAGAAAAAGTCTAAAATAAATACTTAAAAATACTATTATATACGATGGACAGGCTATATAGAGCCGTGATAAGAAATTTGAAAGGCAAATTTCTAAGCAATGTTCTACCATATATAGAAATTGGGTAATTTTCTTATCAAACGCATTGAATCAATTTATAATATTTATATTTAAAAAAAATAAGATATACAAATTTAATTTGAGTGTACAGAAAATATATTGTTTATTTATATAAAAAAAAATAATTAACCCTAAAAATATCGATAATAAAATATATTTACTTCAAAATATCATAATATCTAATATATATGATCTCCATAATCAAAACATGATGGTTTTTTTTATCATTAAAGTATTAAAATTTAATAAGATTACATAGCATAATGTTAATTTTTTGGCCGTCTACCAGTATTGAACTAGAAATCCCTGTTTCAAAAATGAAAGCTCTGCTATTACGAGTTTTGTTATTTTGTATAAAAATTTATTATATAATGCTACATTGCGTTTCCCCCTTTTTTTATTACAAAGATGGGCTTTCAAAATTGGATATTTATATATAATTGAATAATATTTTTAATAATATACTATATTAAGTTAAGATGAAGTTAATGTTGTACAATAGATCATGGATGCATGACTCAGGTTCAGGTAAGATCTTTATTATTAAATTCAAAACAGGCTTGAAAATTTTATTAATATAATATTCATACCATATGGAAATGAATTTATTTTTGATTGAATTTTATTAATTAATATGTTATCGGCAATGTGTTATTTTTTCAACTTTAAATATTTTTGAGCACTATCTAATTATACTGAATGTATTCCAACATGTTTGGAATACCTATCCTATGAACTTTAAACAATTTTGCAATGAACTTTGAACTTAATATAATTTATATTAGTTTATCCATAGGTTTTTTATATGAATTAAATGACTCAAGGGTTAACGGCAAAATTGTCTACAATTCATAAGATAGGTATTAAACATACCGGACTACATTTCCAGTAAAATCAGATTTTTTAAATTTAAATAAATGCACTCAAAAAAATATAAAGTTGGAAAAATAACATATTGCCTGAAAAAAAACATTGCCGCTAACATACATCAAAATAATAATTTTTAACATAATTCATATTGTGATTTCTATTTTGGTTTTGATTAAGTATTATATTAAAAAATCAGTGTCGCTAAACGACACTTTTTAAATGGATAGAGATACAGATTCGTTCTTTCAAACAAATTCTCAATTAAAACGATAATTTATTTTTTTTTAAATTTTTTTTACATTAAATTTATAATTTATTCGTTAAGAGGTATATCTATAATTAACAAATTCTAAATAAACTATTGCTTAAAATAATTTTGTGCGTCATTGGTATTGTTTATAATTAATAGGTGTCATGGCTAACAAGGATTTATATATTCCTTTCTATGATAAAAATATCCTTCACCATCTTGAACTGATATCTATAGATTTAAATGGGGGAAAAAAATGATATTTAATGAATATTTATATCTTTTTTATGTAAAAGGTTTTAGTATTTATATACAAGCTTTAATATTTTTTTTTTAATGTATATTCTTTAATTTTATTTAAATTATATGCTCATATGAGATAAAATTTGCACACACTTTTTATATTTAGATAAAAAAA